CCCCCGGCGCTGGCTGTGCCGCGGTGCCCGCTGTCCCCGCGGTCCCCGCTGTCCCCGCTGTCCCCGCGGTCCCCGCCGCCGCTCCCGCCGCCGCGTCGTTGTTGTGTCGCTGTCGCGGCCGCCCCGACACGTCCGGGCCCCGCCGCGCACGCGCCACATCCGGGTCACGCCGCGCCTGCGCGCCGGCGGGGAGCGGCGCGGGCGGGCGCGAAGGCGCGCGCGTTGGTTTTATGGTTGGCGGGTCCCGCGGTGCCGCGGGGAGGGCGCGCGGGTGAGCGGCCGGGACGGGGCGGCGGCGCGGATCCAGCTGATGGCGGAGTGATTTGGGTGGGAAAAGCCCTCCCGGACCATCGAGTCCTCGCTGCGACCCATCCCCGCCTTGTCCCCCGGGCCAGAGCGCCGAGTGCCACGTCCAGGCGTTCCTGGGACACCTCCAGGGATGGGGATCCATCACCTACCTGAGCAGCCCCTTCCAAGGCCTGACAGCCCTTATCCATGAAGAAATTCCTCCTGATGTCCAACCTGACCCTCCCCTGACACAGCTGGAGGCCGTTTCCTCTCCTCCTGTCCCCTGTTCCCTGGGAGCAGAGCCCAATTCCCCCCTGGATCCATCAGGTCCCCCCTGAGCCTCCTTTTCTCCAGGATGAGCCCCCCCAGCTCCCTCAGATGCTCCTGCTGCTCCAGACCCTTCCCAGCTCCGTTCCCTTCCCTGCACACGCTCCAGCCCCTCCATGTCTCTCCTGTCTGGGGTCCCAGAGCTGCCCCAGCACTGGAGGTGCCTCACAGGGCCAGCACCGGGACAGCCCCTGCACACAGGCGGCAGTGCGAGGACAAGGCCCGTGGGTGCCGAGCCCCGCAAACGTGGTCCCGAGAAACACACAAAGACCCACAAGTGAAACCCCCTACACGTGCAAAATCTCACAAGCAGTAGAATTATGGATTGCTCTGGGATGGAAGGGGCATTAAGGCTCATCCAGCCCCACCCCCTGCCACGGGCAGGGACACCTCCCACTAGCCCAGGTTGCTCCAAGCCCTGTCCAGCCTGGCCTTGGACACTTCCAGGGATCCAGGGGCAGCCACAGCTTCTCTGGGCAACCTGTGCCAGGGCCTCATCACCCTCACAGCCAACAATTCCTTCCCAATATCCCATCTAGCCCTGCCCTCTGGCAGTGGGAAGCCATTCCCCCTCATCCTGTCCCTCCATCCCTTGTCCCAGGTCCCTCTCCAGCTCTCCTGGAGCCCCTTTAGGCCCTGGAAGGGGCTCTCAGGTCTCCCTGGAGCCTTCTCTTCTCCAGGGGAACCCCCCCAGCTCTCCCAGCCTGGCTCCAGAGCAGAGGGGCTCCAGCCCTCGGAGCATCTCCGTGGCCTCCTCTGGACTCTCTCCAGCAGCTCCACGTCCCTGTGCTGTTGTTCCCAGGGTTGGAGGCAGCTCTGCAGGGTGGTCTCGCCTCAGAATCCCCCCTCAGAATCCCCCCCTGCCCTGCTGCCCACACTGTGGGATCAGCCCAGGGCACGGTTGGACTCCCAGGAATTGAGAAACCGGCAATCCCAACAAACTCACAGCCCTGCCAGTGCCACCAGCAAAGGGTCAGAGCCCCACAAACCCAACCCCAACAAGCACACCGGGCTGTAAATGCAGCTGCTTTCCCCTTCCACGCCACCTCACCCAGCAAAGGCGAACTCTCCAGAGGAACTCGGCTGAATAGGAAAAGATTAATACTTCCAGAACTAGAGGGCTGCATCCTTCTGCCTTTGCTGCGCTGAGCCACCGTTAGAATACAAAAGAGAAGGTGAAAGGTGTCCGAAGTACCTTATCCACTGCAAAACTCAGCGCGTTTTTTCTAAATGCACGGCATTTCTGGCACGGTGCTGGTGTGTGCTGTCACTCTGACAAGGACCAAGGATGGCAGAGATTTAAAAAAGATTGCTTTACTGCCCTACCAAAATCTCCTGCTCGCACCATTCAGCCGTTCATAGTCACTTGCACGTCCTGAAGGAGATCTTAGTGATGAGAAGCGATACCAACCGCTGCTGTTATTGGTCCTCTTTTCTTGGGTAGACGCAACTGAAGCCCCTCCACACCAGGATTTGCCGAGCCCGTTGCAAATCATCTGTTTCTTGGAGTTTTTGAAGAGTTATGGGTGGCAGGTGAGAGCTCCGGCTCGACGGGGAGAGTGCCCTGTGCGGGACTCGTGGGTCACAGCACAGCAAACCCACATCAGACAGGTCACACACCAGCACTTCCCCTCCCCTCTCCAAGGTTAAAAATCATTTAAAAAAAAAAAAAAAAAAAAAAGCCCGAACTGCTAAACAATTTACAGTTTACTGGTGGGTGCCAGTGCCAGTCTCCAGCGTCCCGGAATCCCAGCGTGGCGTTCCCAGTGGCTCCTGGGGACACACGGAGAACCCCACCACAGGAGGAGAAGACCGACCTGGAGGGTGTTTTGGATAAATATTGCTGCCTCGATATTTATCCAAAGCCAAACAACTCCAGCAACAGCCAGTCCTGGGAAGGACCTCTGTAAGCCACTGATGTGATTTCGAAAGGCTGCAGAGGCACCACGTCCAACAAAACGGGGCCTTTCTCCACCTTGGGACTCCCGGCATCCCTCAAGTGTCAAATGCTGGTAACTAGCAGGGTCAGTTGTCCCTCAGCATCCGCCCACCCCTGCTCCCCTCCCCGAAATGTTGCTTCGGCCAAGTTCCTGCAACTCGGTTCTGCCTCGAGATCCCGACCGGCGTGTTTTACGTTAATAATTTAAAAAAAAAAAAACAAACAAACAAAAACGCATTAAGTTGCTCCGGTGACTCTGTGCCAAACCACTGAGGCCTGGACCGGTCCTACCACCCCGCCAGAAAATCAGACTCCTGGAATTAAACCGCCCAACGTCAATAATTAATACGCTTTTCCACGCAAACGAACAATGATTCGGTGAGAGCAAATTCTTTTAAAAGTCCGTGTAAAAACATCTGCATCGACAGAGCAAGAGTCCCAGCGTGGGCCACGGGGAGAGGCTGATACCAAAGGCTGAATCACCATCGACAGCTCTTTTCCCAGCTGGATTCGGAGCCCAGGCTCGAGCCCCAGCTCTCCACCCTCGACACAGACCACACCACGCTCGAGCAGCCAAACACTTCCGTGGCGTGAGAAACTTATTTCTCAACCTTTTTTTTTTTTTGTTTTTTTTGCAGGCTCATCAGACCTCAGCAGGAGGGAGATTCACCCTCCGATCAGCCCCCCCGTCCACTCGGGCGATTACGAAACTCCTCACGTCGTGTTTCCTCCCTCTTTCTCTCTTGCCCGCAACCTAAAAAGCTTATTTTGCAGTTTTAACGAGACCCCCCCCACTGGCACCAGTTGATAAAAGGAACTAAGCTTAGGGGAACTCTTTCGGGAAAGCAGAAGAATGTTTAAAATAAAGTTTTCCGAAGCTAAAGGGAGAAAAAAAAATCTAAAAAAAAAAAAATAATAATAATAAAAAAAAAAAAATCTTCATTTACATACCCAGCACTCGTTAAAACACCCCCATGGTCCCTGCAGGACCAGATCAGTGTCCTTATCTGCTGCCAGGTGAAACCCTCGGGCAGATACGTTTTAATGCAGAGGAATTTCGTTCTCTGGTAATTAACAGGTGATTAATGGAAAGATAAACTCCTCGAGAAAACGGGCAATTTACGGTCCGAACTTTTCAGTCCTTTACCGGCACACACATGTTCCCATTAATTTAATTCGGGTTTCATTAGCAGTCGGATTTATGAAGTTAATTTAGTACCCAGGCACAGAAGGGCGGACCGCGGGAAGCGAAGACACATGGGTCTGCCAGCAGAGAGACAGACGTAACTCGATTTCAGACGCCAAAACACATTAAGTCGAAAATACAGGATTTTCCGCGTAACTCCAGCACCGAATGTACCCCTCGGAACGACCCGTGAAAACGACAGCACACAGCTAATCTGTGCCTCAGGTACAGGACCAGGCAGCTTTGCAGCTTCCCTTCTCAGAGCGGGTGAGGGTAACGAAGTTATCCCTTCACCCCGCGGAACGCCCGTACCACAGAGAAGAGAAAAAAAACCACAATTCACCAGGGGAAAGAACTCGTCAACCCGCGACGCACGGGCTCTTGCCTGCTTTATGCTGGTTTTTTTGGGGGGGAAAAGTCGCAGAAATCAGCAAGTTTCCGCCCCAGAAGTCGTGTTCCCCAAGCTCGCACCCCTTCCCGGCGTTACTTTTTATTTATTTTTATTTTTTTTTTAAGGAATCAAAGACTCCCCCAACCCCTGCATTTGAAGCAAAAAAATACTAACGTCGGTGTGACTGGGTTCAGATTTACCGCAACCACACGTGGGACGGAGCCCATTTGAGGGACGGGGGGTGGGTAACACGCAGAACTCAGCTCGATCCGTTCGGCCAAACACTAGGAAATCACGCTCCTTTTTTCTTTTTCCCTTTGAAGGCTGTTGCTCAGTTAAAGCAACAGAAGCACAGGCACAGGTTGTAGCAGCTGGACTTAAAACCCGCCGGGGTTTTCAGCGTTGATAAGAAAGCCACAAGGAGATAAACATCCCGGGGGATATTTAGGCTGGGGTTTTTTTCCCGAAACCACATAACTTTTAATTTCGACCACTGAATCGAGATAAAACCCTGGAAACTCCCAAACTGCCACTTCGAGGCATGGAAGAAAAGGAGATAAAAGCCGGGCCTGTGCGTCCCTTCACGGAAAGAACAAAGTCGCTGCAGAAAAACAGGCCGAGCCGCGCCAAGGTGAAACTCCTCCCACGGGGGTATTTCTGAAAACACAAGCGGGCCTTTATCGGGGCGATTTATCCTTGAAAGCGCACTTGGAGGGAACACTTCAAGGAAGACTGCTTGCCATCTGCCTTGAAGACTTCCAGAGCATGCTTCCAAAACCTCACTGGCGCGGGGGGGATGAATGGGTGGGCCCGATTTAGGGCTGGCGCTTCCCGGCTTTAAATGAACCAAACTGTTAAGAGCAACTCGCTTCTGACAGGGAGCCTAAGCTGTGTTTATTTATGAGAAGACTTCACGTGCAAACGTGAGAATCGGAAGGGCTCCTCCACTTGAGCACAGCAACACCCGCTTGGCAGAGCTCTCGACACATTAATGAATTCAGTGCCCTCTCACACAGAAACTGGGTAACAGTCACAAAGCACTGTGTGCAAGTTTGAAATGGGTGTTGTTCAAAAGCTCTCAGGAGGCAGGATGGCTGAAACTGCTCTGCAGAGCACAAACCTTCCTGGAGGGGTGTGTGAAAGCCAAACGATGATCCAGAGCTGCGCTCCAGGGAATCTCCAAGGAAAGCTCCCGGGCTGTGAAGGCTCGAGCCATCTGGGGAGGCCAGGTGTCCAAAACCACCCCTCATGAATATATTCCAGCTCCAGATGCCTGAGCATCCTTCTTCCTTTGCTTTACAGCAGCAGCACTAACTGCACCCGGCGCTCTGAACCGATCTCTCTGCGCTCCAGGGGAAGAGAATTTGTTCACCAGACCCCCAACAGTCATTTTTAAGCGCTGTCCAACACCCCCCCGGCCCTGTGCCTTCACTCAGGGCTGGCCAACGCTGCTGTTTTTCCCTTCTTCATGGGAATCTCTATTGTCATGAAGTCCTCAGCCAGTGTCACCTCCTGTCCCCCCAGCACGGACTCCGCCTGCCTCCCCAGCTCGGCCACGTCCGCGTCCCCCTCCCCTGCCTGGCCGGCCGGCTTGTACCTCTGGCTGAAGTGGGTCAAAACCAGCCTCTTGGCCCGGCACAGCCTGGCAAAACCCGACGCCATCCCGGGGGTGCTGTGCCCGTGCTCCCTGGCCTTCTCCTGCTGGGTGTCGTCCAGCGTGGCCTCGTGCACCAGCACGTCGGCGTCGCGGCAGAGCCGCGGGGCCTCGTCCCCCGGCGCCCCCGAGCAGTCCCCCAGGATGCACACCTTCCTGCCGGGAATGGGCTCTTCCAGCACCTCGCAGGGAGAGATCCTCACTCCGTTTTCCAGCACGACTGCGGCCCCGCCCTTCAGCTTCCCGTACAGAGGGCCCGGCTGAACTCCTGGCAGACAGAAAGGCGAGAAAGAGCCCGTGAGCAATAACAATAATAATAATAATAATAATAAGTAATCACACTCGCTACACTGTAAGTATATGGCGTGTCAGGTTTAAAACAAAGATCACTTTGAATGTGCTACATGTAGAGCTGGCTCGCTGAAAAAAACCACGGCGTCAGTATATAAAAAATCAACTGATATTTCACGTTTTTCGTACAAATAAAGAGCCCGTCACATTGGCGGGAAGCTTGCTTGAAGAAAACCACAGAAACATGGCATGGTTTGAGTCAGAAGGGATTTTAAGGGTCATGGGCAGGGACACCTCCCACTAGCCCATGTTGCTCCAAGCCCTGTCCAACCTGGCCTTGGACACTTCCAGGGATCCAGGGGCAGCCACAGCTTCTCTGGGCAACTATATAAAAAAAAAAAAGCTATATTTTTCTCACTAAAGCCAACAAAGCCATGCAAATACACTGGCCATACATTTTCCTGAAAGCCACGTGGAGTTTTTTAAACTTCGTCCCCTGAGCTTGCTTGCTCTTCCCACTGTGAAAACGGGGAAATTAACGCAGCATTAATTGGCATTGGTGTCACACGCCCATTCAGAACCCTGCATGGCTACGGAGCATTACAATGCCTGTAGTGGAAAACTGAATTAAAAGAGATTATGGACAGCAGCTCCTGGCTGCTGCTAGAACCCCCCAGGAAGGGGTGGTCACAAAAAGATTTCAGCTGCCAGGAAACCCGGCCGCGTTATGTTTGCCGAAAACCAAGAGGCACTGCTTGAACACAAGAAATTGGGGATTAAAAACAACCCACAAAACCAACCAACCAACCAACTAACCAACCAACCAAACAAAAAACATAAAAAAAAAACCAAAAAGAGGAAAGATGAGTCGAAGTAGTTACCAAGGTCTTTCAGTTTCTGCACGTTGAGCCTCCCAGGCCGGGGCTTCTCCTCCAGCACGAAGCCGAAGGAAGGGACGCGGTGAAAGAGGCGGAACGCCCTCAGCACCAGCTGCTCGTCCTCCTCCAGCAAGTAGGAGCCCTCTCCCGGGTCCAGGCGCAGTATTCTCCCTCCAGGGCCCTGGGGAGGCACCTCACCCCTGTCCAAGTGCGAGAAGTCCCTGAACTCCTCCGCGGGGCACTGGTCCCGCGTGGGCACCAGCTCGTGGACGGCGTAGGGAAAGAGGAGCTGGGAGTGGGACAGCTCCAGGCTCCGCCACAGGAAGCTCCTCAGCCCTAAGGGCCCGTAAATATCCACGGGTGGCTTGTTTGGGTCGGGGCTGCTCTGCAGGCTGAGCGTGCACAGCAGGCCGGGGAGCCCGAAAAAGTGGTCGCCGTGGAGGTGGGTTATGAAAATCTTGGTGATTCTGCCTGTTGGGTTGGAACAGCAGGAAGAGATAAAACAAAAAAAAGGGAAAAAAAAAAGACGGGAAGATAAACAAACAAGGTTCAACGACACTCAGAAATAATCACCGCTCGGGCAAGGGGGTTTCGATTGAACTTTAATTTGATTTTAAAAATTAAAAAAAAACCGGCGTTTGAGAAATAAAACCCTGAACCAGAGGGGTAACACCCGGGCTTTGCTTCGTGTCCGAGCTGCCTCACTCCAGCCCCCAGGTGCTGGGGCCCTGCCCCCCTTGCTGGGTTAAAAAAGCCCAGAATTTTCTCTCGTTGCAGGCACACGTTCTTTAACCAGGGCTGCCTCAGCCTGCCCTGCTGAGTTCCCACCTCCACGGGGCAAGACATCTCCCCCAGCATCTGTCGGAACTAAAGCGAGAGGAAGGGCAGGAGGACCTCCTTCTTTCGGTTTAGTAAAATTAAATTTAGCGAAATCTAGTTAAAAAAACCCAGCAAACTTAGTAAAAATTAGTCCATCCACCTGCCATCCACCTGCCATCCATCCCCTTCGTGTTTTGGAGGAGCAGGAGCCCGGATTTCTGCCTGCCACTTGACGATTCACCTTCATTACTCAGCAGCCAGGAGTCGGCTCCTGCCACCGCAGGCTGTGAAGGCACGGGGACTGCAGGCGGGTCCCGTCCCCAATTTATCTGCCAAGCCATAAAAGTCACCACAAACACGCGACAGCCTCGCTGGGAAGGGAAAGCAAGCGCAACGTTTGCCCGCAGGGAAGGCACACGGCGGGTTTTGCCCAGAGCTGCCTCCGCGCGAACAACAAACTCTGCTCCGGCTCAAAGCCGGTCCGTGATTCCCAGCCTCGGAATCACAGAGCAATCAGTGCGGGAGGGTCTGGTTCTGGAACACGGGTCGTGGTCGCTGCCCAGCAGGTTCAGCGGCGGGGCAGCCCCCTCAGGCGCGCTTGGCCTGTGTTCAAACACCTCGAGGGACGAGGCATTTCCTTCGGGTCGCTCCAAACTTTTCCCCCTCACCAAAAAAAGAAACAAAAAAACCGCCTTTCGGCAGCACAGACCTGCCCTGAGGTGGCTCCTCATGAGCTGTGTCTGGGTCCCCTCCCCGCAGTCGAAGAGCCAGCACTCCCCTTCCCGGCGAAGCACCAGCGCCGACGCCCCTCTGGTGGGAGAGGGGTATGCCGAGCCCGTGCCCAGGAAAGTTATCTCCATGGACATCCTGGGTGTGCTGCTGTGGCGCCTGGAAGAGAGATTTTTGAGCTGCTGCACGTCAGGCATCGATTTCTGTGCTCTGCTGAGCAGGGACAGGCCCCCGGGAATGGCTGGAGCTGTGTCAGGGCAGGGTTAGGTTGGAACTCAGGAGAAGGTTCTTCGCCCAGAGGGTGGTTGGGCACTGACCAGGCTCCCCGGGGCAGTGGGCACAGCCCCAAGGCTGACAGAGCTCCAGGAGGGTTTGGATGATCCTCTCAGGGACAGGGCGGGATTGTTGGGGTGTCCTGTGCAGGGCCAGGAGCTGGACTGGATGATCCTTGTGGGTTCCCGGACTGGATGATCCCTGTGGGTTCCTGGACTGGATGGTCCCTGTGGGTTCCTGGACTGGGTGATCCCTGTGGGTTCCTGGACTGGGTGATCCCTGTGGGTTCCTGGACTGGATGGTCCCTGTGGGTTCCTGGACTGGGTGATCCCTGTGGGTTCCTGGACTGGGTGATCCCTGTGAGTTCCTGGACTGGATGGTCCCTGTGGGTTCCTGGACTGGATGGTCCCTGTGGGTTCCTGGACTGGGTGATCCCTGTGGGTTCCTGGACTGGATGATCCCTGTGGGTTCCTAGACTGGGTGATCCCTGTGGGTTCCTGGACTGGGTGATCCCTGTGGGTTCCCGGACTGGGTGATCCCTGTGGGTTCCCGGACTGGGTGATCCCTGTGGGTTCCTGGACTGGATGGTCCCTGTGGGTTCCTGGACTGGGTGATCCCTGTGGGTGCCCTCCCAGCTCAGAACACTCTGTGTTTCTGTGTATTTACGCTGGGAAAGAAACCAGCATTTTTGTTTTAAATGAACGAACGCGTCCTCCGTGCCGCAGTGCGAGGACCAAATTCCTTCCCCCCTCCCCCCCCAAAAAAAATAAAAGCAAAACCTCCCTGGAGCAGGATATGACTTTCAGGCAACACGTCCCTTACAGGCAGACCTTTTTGTCAGCGGAAGGCTGCAAACACGCTGCCCAAACACGAGACCTTTGGGGGTTACCTGGAGAAACAGCCCTACCCACAGTCGGAATTGCTCCAGTCTCTGAACCCACTGTTATCTGTTTCTTCTGTGCTCCATTTAAACATTGAGTTTTCCTGCACAGGCTTTTTTGCTCCACGAGCCTTTTCAGAGTCACGGACACCGAACGGCCCCTGCTGACATTCACACGCCACTCCCGGGCGTCAGGAGGGGGCAGCCCAGAACCGCAGAGGGGGAGGATTCCCTGGATGGGGGGCTTGGGGCAACCTGAGCTCCCGGTGGAAGGTGCCCCTGCCCACGGCGGGGGGGTGGAACTGGATGAGATTTAAGGTCCCTTCCTTAATCCAGTCTGTGATTCCACGATTCTCAAAGCAAACAGCCCCCTCCCGAGCACACCAAGGTGCAACCTGGCCTTGGGGGGCCGGGGAGGGGTGTGGCAAATGCCCGTCACACCCCCGAGAGGCAGAAATAAACGTTTTGCTTCCTTTTTCTCCGTGTAAAATCGCAGAAATGTGCAACAATTGAATGGCTTCGGTTGGAGGGGATTTTAAGGATCATCTTGTTCCAGCTCCCCTGGCACGGGCAGGGACACCTTCCACTATCCCAGGTTGCTCCAAGCCCCGTCCAACCTGGCCTTGGACACTTCCAGGGATCCAGGGGCAGCCACAGCTTCTCTGGGCAACCTGTGCCAGGGCCTGCCCACCCTCACAGACAGCAATTCCTCCCCAGTATCCCATCTAGACCAGTTTGAAGCCATTCCCTGTGTCCCGTCCCTCCATCCCTTGTCCCGAGTCCCTCCCCAGCTCTTTTGGGGCCCCCTGAGGCACTGCCGGGTCCCACCTCCCCCGCATCTCCCGCGGGGCTCCGGGAAGGGGTCCCGCAGGGCTCGGGGACACGGGGAGGTGACACCGGGGGGGAGGTCACATCCCGCCCGCCCCGCTCCGGCCCCGCTCCCGATCCCGTCCTACCTCCCCCGAGCGCCCGCCCCGCCGGGACGGGAAGGGGAAGGACCGGGAGGAGGAGGAGGAGGAAGGGCAGGAAGGGAAGGGCTGCGGGAGGGGCCCGGCAGGGCAGAGCCCGCCCCCGGGTTCGTGCTTTTCGGATCCGGGCAAACGGGCGTGTAAATCATGGAATTGTTGATGTTGGAAAAGGCCGAGTGCTGGTGCTGCTCCCGGGCCGGGGCAGCCCCTGGATCAATCCAGGCCAGGGATGAACAGATGGAGCAGCCGTGGGGAGAAGGTCCTGGGGGCTGGTGGGGGAGAGGCTGGACATGAACCAGCCCAGAAACCCCCGTGCCCTGGGCTGATTCCACAGCGTGGGCAGCAGGGCAGGGGGGGATTCTGCCCCTCTGCCCCCTTGGGTGAGACCCCCCTGCAGAGCTGCCTCCAGCCCTGGGGAACAACAGCACAGGGACGTGGAGCTGCTGGAGAGAGTCCAGAGATGCTCCAGGGCTGGAACCCCTCTGCTCTGGAGCCAGGCTGGGAGAGCTGGGGGGGTTCACCTGGAGAAGAGAAGGCTCCAGGGAGACCTGAGAGCCCCTTCCAGGGCCTAAAGGGGCTCCAGGAGAGCTGGAGAGGGACTTGGGACAAGGGATGGAGGGACAGGACAAGGGGGAATGGCTTCCCACTGGCAGAGGGCAGGGTTAGATGGGATATTGGGAAGGGACTGTTGGCTGTGAGGGTGGTGAGGCCCTGGCACAGGTTTCCCAGAGAAGCTGTGGCTGCCCCATCCCTGGGAGTGTCCAAGGCCAGGCTGGATGGGGCTTGGAGCAACCTGGGCTAGTGGAAGGTGTCCCTGCCCATGGCAGGGAGTGGAACTGGATGATCACTGAGATCCCATCCGACTCAAATGATCCTATGATTCCAGGATTCTGTGGAAAGACCTTTAAGACCCTCACACTGAACCATTTGCAAAGCCCCTCTGCACAGAGACTGTACCAATCCTGTAGAGGTCAAGCATTGGGTTTGTTTTTTTCCTTTTGTCAGAATAAACACAACCAGGTGTGATTTAGGCAAAGGGAATGCATTTTACTAAGAAAATAGAAGACCGGAACACACATTTCAATAGAGTTACATTATAAAGGAGGGAAAAAAAAAACAACAAAACCCATAACCAATCCACATTTACATAGTTTTAGTTTCAGCTGAGCAATGACCCTCCCAGGCACAGCCAACCCTGCACAGATCAGGCTAGAACTGTCCTCACAAGCGCCCCAGCAGACTTACGTTGAGTTGTGTAAGGTAGATATGTGTAAGACAGAAACAAATGCAGGTTATTCTGCTGTTTTACTGACCAACCAGCCACCTCACTACGTCTGCGTAGTCCCAGAAGTGTTTTTATCCCTGTTAGAGTGTAACCACCCGGAGGATGGCTGAGCCAAAGCCAGTGGTACTCGCAGAGCTGAGTGGGGGGGGTACCAACGCCCACCGTGGGGTTCCTGCAGCACGAGCAGAACACCCGATGCCAGAGGACACTTTTTGCACCAGCTGTAGCCGTGGTCCCCCGTGCCACTGGGATGCAGGTGTCGGGACATCTCCCTCCGGAGCAGCCACCAAGGAGCATCTCCATCACCATCACCATCACCATCTCCATCACCATCACCATCACCATCACCATCTCCATCACCATCAACATCTCCATCAACATCTCCATCGCCATCTCCATCTCCATCTCCACGGGGAGCTGCGATCCGGGCAGCCACGGGAGGATGCAGGGGTGAGTCCTGATGGACCTTCCTGGCCGCTCATCCCGGGTTCCTGACGCCGTGGTGATGTGCATTTCGGGGTGGGCAGGTGGGTAGGTCGGTCAAGACAGGTCCACACAGAATTAGATGTCCCCTGGCCAGCAGCAGCTGAGTGACTCTGCTCAAATTCAGCTGCCCAGTGGGTGCAGTTAGAGGTTTGCTCTGTATTTCCTCCTTGCTCCAGTACTCAGTGTTAACACCAGTCCCTGCCTGTCACATATGGCTGTTATAGAACGGGATAGCAGTACACACCATCCTAAAAAGAGTCCAAAAACAACAGTGGTTTTCTCCAGTTCAGGAATAGCACTTGCAGCTGAGACAGGAGTCCAAAGTGTTCTTACAGTCTGATCTGAGAGTCCTGCAGATAACTTATCCAGCGGGCAGAGGAGTTCAAATCTGCACCTCTGAGGTCAAGAGGACCCGGAGCAAATGAACAACAACTTGGGATTGGCTTTGGCCCAGAGTCAGCTGAACTAAAATGCACAGTTTGAGCTGTGCAATAGTGATCCCCACTCTCCCACACGCAGGGCTCCTAATGAGAAACTAAAAGGTGTATCATTCATCTCTGCAGTTACTACCAGAGCAGCTCGACAGAGAGTTACTTTATCCCCACTTTTGTAAAACAGAGTGCTGGAAACAACAGTTACAGAGAAGACACACCACGGGAAACCTGTCACACACCACTCTGCACCTAAAGTGTCGCTTGGCTTTAAGCTTGGAAAACAAACACAGCACATCAGGATGCATCACTGCTCACAGACATCACCGAGGACTTGTGCCACGAGTCACGTTTGGGTTTCAAACTCTATCAGGTACAATGTTTCCTAATGGTCGTCTCCTACCCGTCACGTTGGCGCCCGGGCAGAGGCTTCGGGAACACACAAACCTTTGTAACATCTTTGAACAAAAACACGTGCATTTTCGTAAAAAAAAAAAAAAAAAAAAAAAAAAAAAAAAAAAGAAAAAAGGCTGCACTCCACCAGTTATCTATAATATCCCCAAAACAGGTTGCTGCCAAGAGGCTCAGTCCTGCTCCTGCTGATTTCAAGGACAAACCCTGGAAAGGACTGACCTTGGTGGGAGTTCCTGATCCTCTCAGAAGGGCTCTGCACACCCCAAAGAGTCCTTTATACCATTTGGAGGGCAAAAGTCACCAGGGCTGTGTGACAAGCCAGAACACTAGTTATCCTTTAGATGATGCATTCTTTTAACTTACACTCTGTAGCATCACAAAATGCATCCTGGTGACCACTGTTTCCCTTTGCACACTGTGTAAGAGAAATTTCTGTGTAGATATAGATCAGTAAATACTTTTAAATAAAATCAGCAAACAGAAAAAAAATCAGGCTAAGTTGAATATGAAAAAGACACTGTGGGCTCCTTACTAAGCAGCAAGATTAGCAGCTGTAATTAATTCAGAGATTAATTGTATCTGAAGAATACAGAAGACTGAAGATGGACTTATGCACCTTTAGAAAAAAAAATTCTGGAAAAGGCAAAAGGGAGGGCAAAATGGATTTAAACCGTGAGCTGGCACGTTGCCTGTTGCCAACAGAAAGCAATGGCTGCACATTAAAGGGAAAATTCCACCACCTCTCTACTGCAATCTAAAGAACCTGGTCAGACAAAGCCCATGGGAGTAACAGATAAGGTCTGACTGGTACCACCCAGCTGCCCTGACAGGGACAGCTCAGGGGGGCACAGCCAGGCCTTCTCTGCCCCTGAGCTCTGACAAGCCCACAGCCCCACCAGGGCTGGGCACTTTTCTAACCGGAGCCTCCAGGTCAGCCAAGGACTGATTTCTCCCTCACCTGTGCTGCTGGATTCCCAGAAAAATTATGCAGGTACTTGGGAAAACCCCCACTGCCAGCCAGTTCTCAACAATCCCCCTTGGCATCTGCTTAAAGACAGCAGGGAGCCCGTGCCAGGAAGGGAAGAGACTGCACTGCACAGAACAGGCGTCCTCCCCGTGTGTGACAGAGGCCAGAGCTGCCTCTGGGAACCGCAGTCACTCCTGCCCCAGGCAAAAACTCCTGCTGTGCACAGGTAACACTGCTTTCCCCAGCTCCAGGTTCTCCTGAGGACTATCAACACCCACTGGTTATGGACAGTGACTGCACTTCTTGCCTGGAAAAAAAATAATCAGACTGAAGAGGTGGACGCAGATCTTTATTTTCTGAGACAGAGTTGTACTCAGGGACCGATTGCTCTGCCTCTGTGACCGTTCTCAGCCCGGACATGAGATCAGTGCATTGGGTATTTTTGTTACTCATCTGCCTAATTAGACTCCTGGCAGAAGGGAGGGAGTGTGTGTTCCCAGTATACTGGAATCCAGTGATGCAGAACCCCACTGACACACTACAACAGGCCTCAGACAGAGCTGGATTTTTTCGGAAGGCAAAAAACCAATTCATACACTAAATAAATAATCTCCAGGAAGATCACAAAAAATTTAAATACAATAAAAACCAGGCATAGCAAAAATAGATGAAAAAAGCATTCTCTGTAAAAACATCATATTATGTGTGTGTTGGTCTTTATATTACATGTGCAAGTTCCAAACCCCGTGCATTGCCCGACTTGGCAATGAAGCACTTCGAGCCCCACCACACAGCCCTTTACCACAGGTTGGATACCACAGTTTCTTCCCCACACCACTGTTTTCTGTGTTTATATAATCAGTCTTCTGCCCCCACTTAGGTAAAGCCTTCCCAAAGCTTACTGTTCTTTGCATTTCAATACACGAACATAATTTCAAACCCGGATATTGGGCCGTAAGTGCCAGAGATCACGTCCAAAGGGGGTGCTGAGACTGTCTTCCCCTGCTCTATTTTTGGCCTATTCTGTGGAGACTGCGTTTTCCCACATAAATGAAGACGTGAGAG